ATTCTAAGACTCTGGTATACTATGCCATCATTCACTACGCACGTTTACTGCACACATCCACATCGTCTTCATTTGACTTTTCGAAGGTTTGTTGCTCCTCACCAACCTTTTTTTTCTGGGGGAGAGCTGTGTAGTAACATTCTTTTCACTTTCTAACGCCGTTCCCTTGATCAATGTAAAGACTCTATTTTGTTTTATTGGTCTTCCTTTTCGAGAACTCTAATGACCTCGACCCTGACACAATTTCCGGTGAGTTGTATGTGCGCTTGCTCTCTGTACAATTTCCGCTGCAGGTCACATACAGGCTAAACGCTCGTATCCGACTATCTTCTCAATTCGTCCTCGTCTTGCGAAACCGCATAATAAGCCAGATCAATAGAATACGTAGACGCGTCCTAGCTTCAGCCTCAACTTGCGGTGCTGAATAAGGAGGGAGTGGAGCTTCCGGACAATCACTTTAGTTAGGCGGTTCCTTAGGTGAAAAGACCTTGCCATACGGCGTCCAGGCGGGTCTTCACCGAGCTGGAATTGACTACTTCATTGGGTAGTCTGTTCCAGTCGTTCACCACCCTTATGGCAAACGATTGCTGCCTTATACGGGTGAAAACTCTGACCTTAGCTAACTTAAGGTCATTACTTCTTAACATTGGGTTCTCGCTGGGAGGTAGTAGTGGTCTCCCTTCTTCCCAAATGCCATCCAAACCTTTTAGGTGTTTGAATGCCTCAATCAGGTCTCCCCTTCTTCTCTCCAGCGAGAAGAGCTCAAACCTCTCCAGCCTGTCCTCATATCTAAGGTTCCGTATTCCTGGGAACCATCTGGTGAAGTACCGCTGCGTCTTCTCGAGTACTTTTATATCCCCAGCTAGATATGGGCTCCAGGCCTGGACACAGTACTCCAAGTCAGGAAGAGAGTAGTATGTGAAAGTTGAAATAGGACAAGGAAGGACAGGACAGTTCACAGGAATTGCGGCTTGAGCCAGTATAATAGTCCAAGTTCTTGCTTCTACTAGCCACGTGTGTTTCGTAGCGCTCCAAAAGTTAGTTGATCGGTCCTTGGTGGTGTAGGGGTACGGCCGCGGACAGGGACGCCATTCCGGTTTGCTGTCTATAGAAACAGCACTAGCTGATCAGTCACAGGCTAACCAGGAGGTCAGAGTACCTCTCCAGCAAACAGTAGAGAACCCGCAGGCATGCGAAGATCGATAAGAATGAGAAAGGAAAAATACGTGATTAATTAAGTAAGAAAGGTAAGGTAATACGAGGAGGAGGGTGTAGGGAAGTGGAGGTACACAGGTGAAGTGAAAGTAGTTGAAGTAAAATGGGATGATATAATCAAGAGTAAAGATGGAAGGGGATTGGTGTTCGGGAAAGCTAAATGCATAGCTACCACCAAGGACTGTTGGTTCTTTCCTTAGGCTGATTCGGGGAAGGTTACGTCCCACTTCTCATCAAGCCTTCTTTTGAACAGCGCCAGTGTGGACGCTGAGACAACCTCGTCAGGAAGTCTATTCCAGGTGTTGTCCACTCTATGAGAGAAGTAGTTTGCCCTTTCTCTCCTTAATGCACGGGTTTTAACCAGCTTCAGCTGGTGTCCTCTTAGGACTGGGTTTTCACTGAGGGAGAAGAGTTGCCTGCTAGGCTGTGAGAATCCCTTCAGTATCTATTGGGTCACCTCTCATCCGTCTGTGAGATAAGGAAAACAAGTTTAGCTATCTCAGGCGCCTCGGGTACGACATCATTCTCAGGGCAGAAAAAAGCTTAGTGAATCGTCTCTGGACGTGCTCTAGTGTCTTTTGGTCGCGTACGAGGTTCAGCGCGCATACCTGTACGCCGTACTCGAGATGTGGACGCACCAAGGCCTCGAAGAGGGGCAGTAAGACTGCAGGGTCCCCTGATACTACTGTTCCTCTCAGCAAGAACAGCTCCTTAGAAGCCTTTGCTGAGGCTAGCTGACACTGTCTTGTGGGCTGGAAGGAACCATGGATAACGATACCTAGGTCCCTGACCTCGTCAGTGATTTCCACCGGTGTGAGTCCGTGCCATTGAGCAACCTCGTCTCCTCTATGGATCCCCCTAAGAGAGGCTGTTTACACTTGTTAGCATTTAGTAGCAACAGCCACTCCTCCCTCCTTTTTTGGACTTCATCTAGGTTATCCTGAATGGTGGAGAGGTCACCGATAATTTTTACATCATCGGCAAACAGAAAGGGCGGTTGTATTATCCTCTTGGTCAGGTCATCTATGTAAATGAGGAATAGTAGGGGTCCCAGTACGGACCCTTGGGGCACACCNACACCACTACAGGCTGCCCTCCCTAGTGGACATTTCGTCCTCTACCCTGACAGAGAAGGGCCGGCCAAGTAGGTACCCCGTAATACATCTGACAACCTGTGCAGACAGACGGAAGGTCTTTAGTTTTTCGATCAACAGTCGGTGATTGGCTGAGTCGAATGCCTTTTGGTAGTCTGAGTAACAGACTTCCACACGCTCCCCTAGATCAAGCCTTTGGGTGACCTCGTCCATGAAGTTCAGCAAGTTTGACAGGTAGGACTTCTTCTGCACAAAACCATACTGGCTAGGAGATATCAAACCCTGGCTTAGAACGTGCTCTGTCATGCGATCCCTGAGGATTCTTTCCCTAATCTTCAGTGGAATAGGCAGCAAACTGGCTGATCTATAATTTCCTACCGAGTCCTTGAGCCCTCCCTTGTGGATAGGCACCACCTCTGCCATTTTCCAATCTGCTGGAAGTTGGCCGTGACAAAGGGATAGGTTAAACAGGCGGGCCAGTGGATTGGTGAGGACTGTTGCCAGGGGTTTCAGTATGGCTGGGTGGATACCATCTGATCCTGCCGAGTTGCCTGTATTTGTGTGCCTCAGGTTGTCCTATATTTCCTTGGGGAGGATTTCGCAATCTGGCATATGTGGGATGGGCCTCGGAGTTCGTTGACCCCCGGGTGCCCCGATGTCCCCAACGTGAACTGCTTCAAAGAAGCGTCTGAAGAGTTCTGCTTTCTCAGAGCTGGCTCTGACTGGGTGGTTGCTCTCATCCTTAAGAGTACATATAGCCGTACACAGCTTGGAGTTGGCTTGTACGTAGTTGAAGAATGCCTTGGGGCATTCTTCAATCCTCCGCACCAGTCCAGTTTCGAAGGCCCTACAGCAAGCCGTCTGGGCACTGATCGCCCTGTCTCTCTCTCTGAGGTACTGGAGATACCCTCGGTGGCTACGGATCCTGAGGTACTGGCTCCAAGCTTGACGCTTTCGGGCTTGTGCCTTTGCTACTCTACTGAACCACCAGGGGAGTTTGTCGTTTCTGCGGATCCTCCTTAGCGGAGCAAACTCCGAAGTGAGCAGTAAAAAATTGGATTTGATGGTAATCCAAAGCCCTTCTATAGTGTCAAGCTGCTCCCCCCCGTGTAGCTCAGATGCTTTTTCAATGAGGGAGTTACTGTTTGTTCTGTGGAAGGCTCTCCTCCATTTCATGTAAGGATTTGGGCCGTTTTCCTGTAAACAAAAACGCAACACTACATGGTCACTCCTACCCAGTTGTAGGGAGGTTCCCAAGTCGGTCACAACATTGCGGTATTTACTCAGGACTAGGTCCAACAACCCAGGATTTTGTCCGCTGCGATAACGCGTGGGTAGGTTGACGTGTTGGACTAGGGCGCAGTCAAGGGTAAAGTTTACTAGTAAGTGACCGAAACTGCCTGGTGGTGTCCACGTGGAATTCCAGTCAACTTCCGGGGCATCAAAGTCCCCTAGAATCAACACGCTGGTTGACCCGTGGCTAAACTCTCTGAGGTCTGATAGTAGTTGCTCATCCTCCACCTGGGATGCTGAAGGACTGCGATAAACACAGCCTACCGCTAGTTTCTTTGTGGGGAGGTGTATCGCACAAGCCGCTACCTGGATGTAAGGTGTGTTTAAGGGAGCGACTGTTTCAGTTTGGAGCTGCTCGCTGGTCATGAGCAGTGCTCCTCCCCCTATGCGATTGTCTTCTCTATCGGTTCTGAAGACAGTGAAACCTTTTGGTTTTACCGACTCAATGTCTTCATTCGGTCGAAACCAGGTTTCAGTTATGGCCATGCAATCGGAATGGATGCACTCCGAGGTTATTTCACCCATTTATTCCCCAGGCTGCAGGCATTTGTACTGAAAACCCGCAGGCCTGATCTGTGACTAGTGATGGGAACTTGGGGGTAGCACTTGGGCTCTAGTCCCGAGTTCGCCCTGCGTTTTTTGCAACGGAGGGTTTACGGGGTATGCCAGACGTTTCTAGCCTGGGCTTGCGTTTTAGGTTGGGCGGCTGAGGGTTGGCTGGGGTGTGTGACTCGGGCCGGCTAGTAGGAGGTACAACCGCAGTGTGTGATTCCTTTGTCACCTTTGCTACCCCCTCAGGTAATCGCAGAGAAAGTAACTTCATGGGTTTTTCATTCGGGAGCAGTTTCGCTAATCGACCCTTTCGAGTATTGTCTGGTTCTACGGATATTGCTCCTTTGGTCTCTGCCCTCAGTTGGGCAGAGGCTACGAGGAAGGAATCACGGTGCCGTGGGTTGCTGAACTCGACAAGCACTGGTCTCCCCTTACTTCCTTTTTATGTTTGCGTGAGGAGGAGTGCCTGATATTCTGAGGAGGGAGGTGAAATGGTGCCTTATTAGCGCTTGCCTCTACTTTGGTACCCGACGGAAAGGCTCAGCTAAGCCTTTCATTATTACACTCCTATGCCTCCCGAGAGCGATGTTGGTATTCGCCTGGAGGGTTTTAATGCTGTTGGAGTTCAATGCAGCTAACTTGGCTACTCTGGCAAGTTGAGTGGCTTNGTGGCTTGGCTGGCTAGGGAGTTAGTGATCACCTTCAGTTGACGTGTCATGTCATCCCTAAGGCTTTTCATATCCCGATGGTCGATGGTGGGCTGGATGTCCTTCATTTCTCTCACTGTGACATCTAGGAAGGAGCAACAGTGTGCCTCTGTGAGCTTTTCATCTGAGGCAGGGGTTGGCTCGGTCCTTTTCTGCGGCGAGCTATCCGCACTCGGCTTTAGTGGTGTCAGTACCTGAACATCCGGTTTATGTGGGGTTGGCTGCCTGCATAAAAATGTTTGCACACGCATAACAAACCCATTTTAGGCATTTGTGCTCAGCGTGGAGTCGGTAGGCTTTGATGGTCAGTTTATAGCACTTTCTGTGATACCAGGTGCCGCAAAAGTCGCAGCAGATACCCTCGCTTACACTAACTAGGCAATCTGTTCTCCCACGGGAAATACCCTGGCCTCAGTTTTAGGGATAACCATTTGGGCTGACGAGCATTTTCTGCTCACATCTCTCGTGGTCATCAGGATATAACCTGTTGCGTCCGGCTGGTAGGTTATGATGATTACAGTAGAATTAGAGGGCTTTAGGGTAACGGATATTGCTTGGGATTGATATGATAGAAAAATGAGAGATGTGTAATGAAAAAAAACACTGGCTAGGAACACCAACCCACCAACCACAAGCCAAAGTTGACGCGGACGCTGGACTCACCGAGTTACTTCACAGAATGCAACAACTAATACCTAGGCTCACCTTCGTGGCACTCTGAGCTGACCCTTAGGCGAGTACCAGTCGATTTTAGCTAAACCTGGATCCACCGTGGCCTGATTTGTAGGCCCCGAAGTAGACTTTCTCGAGTTTCACCACACGCTGCGAAAATTGATACTACGCGAGGTAAAAAAACAACAAAAAATAGGCATATGTGGGACGCAGTACCTTCAGGTCTTTAAGTGCAAAGAGCTGTGGGAACTCCCTCGTATTTTTCCAATCACTATGTGTTCCACTAAAATTACCAATTGTTCACATCAGTCCAATACTCGAGCATAGCTCTGTCGAGTTTCAATTTGAAAATGCCCTCATGTGGCTCTTCCACCACGTCATCAGTTCACGCTTTAAAAAGACTTATTACTCTCTTTGGCAGATGATATACCAACGGCAGACTGTTTTATTGCATCTTTTGGAACACCAGTGCATCTCCCCTGATGCGGTTGTTGTTCCTCAGAGATCAATTCCGACTGCATTTCTGGGACAAACTTACCTTGAATGATGTGTTTGGCGTCAGGTCGCCTCTCGGTCATCTGTATGCCACGGGAAACAACGCCGTTTCAATCCTTTAGTCTTCATAGCTGATGCCAAGTTCTACGATGATTCTTGCAGCAGCGAATTGGGCAACCTCATAATCCGTAATAGGAAGGAATGCCGGACCTCCATTTTTCGATCGAGGACGTACGTGGGAGGCAAACAGCAACCTGAAAACCGTCAGGGGCAACGGACTAAAGGAACGGTGATAGCACCCAATATGCTCCGCACAGAAGAACAAGTACTTTCTGTCTATGCTAGAGTTTTTAAGTTGCTGGTGACGACAATACTAAAATCTCCATCTTCGGATGACTATCGGAGCATGGTGCTTCCAAGAGGGTAGCTGTTGGTGAAACCATCTTCCTATTCTCATGTGGGCTTATATTGGGATTGTCACCGGCAACCTCCATATACTCGAGCAGTCCAGTGGAGCACTCAGATTGTCCTGAAGACACTCCTGATCAGCTTCTGACCCGATGATACGTCCTAGCTTGAAATCATCAGCATATCCTAGGCACGGGCTTCTCAATGTCTAAGGTGTGTCATTCGCAAAGATCAGGAACAGCAGTCGGCCAAGAACGGAGTCTTATGGGATAAAGCTGGTGATTGGATACCATGCAGATTGCGTCTGTGAAACTCTCGCCAACAAGTACTTCCCTTTCCCTAAATCCTCAAACGAGCGAAGTATGGACCCTATAATGCCCAGAAAAAATGAGTTTATTTAACAACCGGTCATGAGATACTTCGTCAAACGCCTTTTTGAAATCACCGAAGATTACATCCGTGCCATATTCCTCGTCCTTGCCTCTAGACCAGCATTAACAAACACCCAGCAAAATAATCATGTAGGAACGCCTCCTGCGGAATCCATGTTGCCTTTAGCACATCAATTGTTGTCGCTCGAGGTATTCCGTAAGGCATGAAACCACCAGTCACTCCATCGCTTTGCCGAAAACCGATGGCAGGCTCGTGGAGCGGTGGCCGACTGCTGCAGCTTTCGTCTCGCCCTCGTAAATTGACCCAACAATCATTTTCTTCCACTCTTGAGACAGTCTTCCTGAGCCCACTGGTAGTTTGAATGGCCACTCAACTGGTGGAGAGAACTAGACTGCTTGTTCCTTGAGCATGAAAGAATGAATAGCACCCAGGCCTGGTGGTTGACAGGCCTTGCTCGATTGAAGCACCCTTGTTACCTCCGCCTCTGAAAACATTTCGAAGGTGAACATGAACGTGCTGCTGGCTGCTGTTAGTGGTGACTAATCAGCAGTCGTATACATCAAGCGTACTACCTGGTTAGTCGTTCCGCTTTACCCACATCGGTGTCGCCCATTTCGACTCCGTTATTCAACTCTTCTCTTTCTTTTTTCTCTTTTAATTTACTTTCTTTTACTGAATATATAATGACACAATTTTCAGGAAGAGCAAAGGGGCCAATCAGAGGGCTGCCATAGAACACAAATCGGGATACCAGCTCCAGCTCTCATGCGCCGCTTCAGGTCGGCAAATAGACCTTTGTGAGCGTTTGGACGATTTGCGCTCGAGGTTCGAATATTGGACGTGGTTTGTTTCGCATCTATTTTTGTGTGGTAATTCTTTGATTTATCCTATGTTTCAGGTATTTTTAGTCATAGCTAGTTTTGCTATAGCTTTTCGGTGTTTTTAGTACATACTATTTTAGCGGTAGCCATTGTGGTATCATTTAGTTAACTTGTAATCGGCATGGTTGGTCGCATGCTAATAAGTTACGCCACTGGTATATCAAAAACCGCGAGTAGTGATGCAAAACGTCCGAGTCGCGCGAGGAATACACTCCAGTTCACGAAATACCCAAGTTTTTCATCTGAATTCAAGGAAGGCATTTGTTGCGATAGTCGTGCGAAGTGATACCATCAGGCCTGCAGTGGCCTAAAGAAGAAAGCATTGATACTCTACACAGAACACAAAGTGCTCAAGTGGGTGTGCGCAGGTTGCATTAAGTTACCCACGATGCCTACAAGACAGTCGAGCAATCCGAATGACACCACAAGTATTAACTCAGATTCAGAGCGAAGGGGCACGTCAGTGGTAAACCGCTATCAAGGAAGCAGTAACTATAAACGTTTTCGCAATGACACTGGTATGATTGGCACACTGAGATGGAAAATCGAAGAGCTAGTGGTTAAGACCAGGCAGCAAGAGGGGAACTTAGAGTCTCTCCTGCAGAAGGTTAATCGGCTCGGG